ACTTTATCACAGTAGATAATAATGTGTATGTGTTAGTCCCCATAGGGAAATTACTCCTCTGCATTTAACCCATTCACCCATTGAAGCAGTGGGCAGCCACCAATGCAGCGCCCGGGGAGCAGTGTGTAGGGACGGTACCTTACTCAGGGGTACCTCAGGGTAGCTGTTCAGTGGAGTCGAACCCCTGACCTTCCGATCATGGGGCAACCACTCTACCTACTGAGCTATCCCTGCCCTTTTTTTTTAAATAATAATGTAATTAATTAATTAATAATTAATAATGTAATGTAATAATGTAGATGTCTTTCTGAAAGCGCTGTAACTAAGTTTAAGAATATAATCCACCCACTGTTATCATCTTCATGCCCTGTACCAACATAGAGCATTACCTGCTGTATAATGCCCTCCACTATCTTACTTTAATTGGTCACATGACTAAAATGTGTCATTGTTTTCAAAAAGGCTCCGGGTTCGCTGTCCACACTGCGACGCGAAAACTGCATTTTCAAATGTATCTGCTTTGGAGAGCGTTTTCAAAACGCTGCGTTTTCCTTGACTGAAAACACCGTCACAGTGTGGACGGAAGGCCAAAACCGAGAGAAAAAGATGTGTTTTCAAACAAAAACATATTAGTAGCAGTCAGTCCTGCAGCAGTCAGGATTGTTGCCTACTGGTTCAAACCCACCGGCCAGGTGGGGCCTTTCTATGTTCTCCCTGTCCAGGTTTTCACCAAATTCCTCCCGCAGTCCAAAGAAATGCAAGTTAGGTTAATTTGTGATCCTAAATTGAGTGTGAAGTGTTAGCTTCATGATAGACTGGCAACCTGTCCAGTTGTTCTTGTGCTGCGACAGCTGGAATAGGCTCTAGTCTCCCCACGATGCCTGAACTATGGATGAAGCTGGATGGATGATACTCTTGAGTAACGTCATCAACAGCTCAGAATCATGCAGGCCAATCTTTCTACCGGTTCAAACAAATTATTCTCTAATCTCAGGCCTCAATAAAATCTAGAAATATTTCTAGGATATTAAACTGAGAATGTTTTTTCTCTGTTAGCATGTATGTGTAAGTTAAACTATGAATCTTATCTGGTTTGAAATGATAAAAGTCCTTCAAATGTTTTCTTAAAAACATTTTTAGAAAGATGAAGTCAACTTTTGCCAGTGTTGTGAGAACCTTCCCTTTTTTGAAGTCACATATGTTAAATTTTTAGCAAATTACTCTCCTAACCTTCAGTGTGTATTTTCAAAAAACTATTCCTTTAAAAATGAAATGTTATCTACCCTCCATCTTTATTTTTTTTTAAATCATTTTAATCATTCATGTGAAAACCACACAACACACTGAATGCTACATAACAATGTTTTTTGTATTTTTCCCCCTCTCGTCATCTGGGAGCTCACATTTTCTTACGTTCAGTTTCACTGGCAGGAAAAAGCTGTTCTACATTTTACTGCAAGTGTTTCACTGATGTCAAACACACCTCTGAATCATGTTGTGCAGGAAGCGACGGTGGTTGACCTGCCGCTTGGATGGTCGGTTCTTCTTGGGTTTCTGCAGGGTCCTCATCATGTGACCTGCTGCTGAAGTTACAAAGGTGTAAAGGTCGCGACCCCAGGGGACCCCTCGCTCCAACCCAGGCTCGAGACTCGCGGAGATGGACGGTCGCATGCCTGAGAAACATACATTTATTTACTGCATAGGATGCCATTCAGTGGAGATTTAGGAGAGTCAGGAGTCACTGACTTAAAGTGGAATAAACGTCCATTTATATAACATAAATGCTCCAGCAGAGTCTTCTTGAGTTTAAAGGATGGAGAGCATAACAGATCCTGATCAGAGGAGCTCAGACAGGTGCTGGTCATAAAGGTGTTGTATACCCGTAAGGCAGGCAGAGCTCTGAAAGTAATCAGAGTAATCTTGAACTGAATCCTGCATTTCCTGACAGACGAGACGGAAGGAGTAAATTTCTCTTGTACTTAAATAAAATATAATGTGCCTTCACTATATCTAAAAGTATTTATTCTGCACAGGAAAAAATGATTTTATTATTTCTCAAAATTAATATTACTGTTCTGAGGAACTGTGGCATGATAAGGAGTAAATGGTCTGGTACTTGCACCTTTCTACTCAATTTTAGGATTTTTTTATTAATATTATATGACTTATCCATTATAGTCTTATTTACCCAACTATCACATACACACACATTCATACAGCACTTTTATCTCTGTCTTTGTGTTTTCTAACATTTACACTCAGCGTCTTTCTCAAGGATACTTTGACATGTACACTGGAATAGCTGGGGATCGTTAAACCGACTTTCTGATTGGTAGACAACACACCCGGACTGCCTTAGCCATGCCTTAAAAAGTCAAAAGTCTAAAAGCCTGGCTGCCACAAATTTTATCCCCAACTATAATGCAAAAAACAAAGAAATGTGCCGTCAGACTAACTGCAGTGCATCTGTACAGCAATAGAAGGGGAGTTAAAAGTTCAACACTTCGCTGTGAATTTATGTTTAGTACAAATAAAGTAACCAAAAGTGTACATAGTCAATTTCCACCAACTAGGAAATCACTATAAAGAAATCAAGCCCCAATTCTCATAAGATGAACATATAGGAAGTGATCAGGATGAATAATTATTAAAAAAAATAAAATGATTAAATGATGAGAAAAGACAAACTGCAGGCAAAAATCACTGATTATAATAAGTGTTTATATAAACCTGTTTGTAAAGGCTGTAACTCATATTTATTATAACATAACAACAAAATGTCAAAAACGCTGTTACAGCTAATGTGTTGTACTGTGGAAACAGCAGATCTACATAACTTATAATTATATAAAAATATATAAAAATAACTGCAAAAGCCTGCTTACCGTTTTGTCTCCAGGTTTCTGTGTATCTCTCTTCAAACTGCACTGAAGGCTGAGGAGGTGTGCTGCAATAATTCAGCTGTTAATGCATGTGTGTGCATGTATTGTGGACTGATGTGTGCACAAATTAAGCTGAGTGACATCAGTGGTCAGTGCAAATGCACAGATTTTTTTTCCTGCTTTTTCTCCCAGGCAGTCTGAAAGGAATCTGCTTTGACAAACTGATAACGGGAGAGGAAGTGAGACATGATGAGAGGGTGTGAAAAGAAAAGGGCAATTATCTGAGAAGTCAACCACTTGTAGAAGTGTGGGCACACGCCTCCATTGTGTGGCTTTCTGAAAGCAGCTTGTTAAATACTGCGAGACACTAACGCTTGAGTTCAGGGTTAACAAGCACTTAATTGACCAGTTTAAACTCTGGCCCTAATTATCACATTCTCAGTGGGAAGATCTAAGATGGTTGCTAGCTGCTTTTAATTGACCTTTACAATTCAAAAGGACACCTTCCAGGTTCAACATTTTGCATATCTATGGCAGCAGGTGTGTGGCTAGGCTTTATTTTTATTTATTTATTTTACACAGATGTGAAAATACATTTAACTTTACAAAGTGATTTTAAGGTTAAGATTATTAACTTTTCTCTTCTTTGCAGCTCACCGTTATTGTTAATTTTCTAGATGTGAGAGCAACATGCAAATCCAACACAACACACAACAAAAATTCTAATAAGGAGTAGGAATTTGACTGTCTACATTTGACCATATGTAGACAGTCAAGTTACTTTTTGGTATCTTTTACCTAAAAGTAACTTGGTAAAAAGTTGTCGACTTATTTCCCTTCCAGCCAAAAAACTGCCACATTCATTCTCAGAAATGAATTTCTCTTTTAGAGTCAGAATTGGTGTAAAGAACATGAAGACATGGCTCCATCAAGCCTTTTATCAACAGTTTAGGATGGTTGTGGTTGGGTTAAGGTGTGAGGAACTTCTTCAGCACACTATAAGCCTGTTAGAACCAATTAAGCGTCATTTAAGCACCACATCTTACTTGAGCATTGTTGCTGGCATGTCCATCTCTTTAAAACCACAATGTCTTCTGATAGACAACACACCATGTCACAAATTTCAAATCATCTCAAGCTGTTTTTTTTTTTTCATAAATAGTTCACTGTACTCAAATGGCCTCCACAGTCACCAGAAATTAATCCAGTTGCAGTTCCTCACCTTTGGAGTGAGGCAGAACGGGAGACCCACACTGGGAAATCAGATAAAATCTGCAGCAGCTGTGTGATGCTGTTGTGTCAATATGGACCAAAGCTTTGAGTGTGAGGTTTGTTCCCAGCACCTTGTTGAATCTCTGACATAAAAAAATGAAACAGTTCTGATAGTAAAAGGGGTCCAACTTTTCCTGAGGTGTACCTAACAAATTGTCAAGTGAAATATCCACCCAGCTTCTTAATGAGTACTGACAAGTTTGCAGATCGTTTGGCTTTTCACTAAATAAACCAAGAAAATGTACTTAAGCGTGTTAAACAAAACACATTTTAACCAATGACCTGCAGAGCTAAACGAGCAAAAACATTCAATATATACTAATACAGCACAAGTAAAAGCAAAAATAACCCAATGCAGGTGAGGTCCTGACATGCAGAGGCAAAATTTAGGAGCAGTTAATGCAATGGCATCGTCTCCTTTATGCTTTCATTTGGCTGTTGGGACACAGAGTAACTACTCAGAAGATGTCAATGATTTTGTGAGAATGTTCACAGTAAAAAAAAAGACAAAAACACAAGTGAGAGGTGTAAACTCATTCACTTACTTCAAAACAACCATAAAATCTTGAAAATTGCTTCTATCCGATTTCGGCACCTTTTCAAAGCCAAGCGGTTCACTCAGAGAAGGGAATCGCTGGATGCCAGGAGTGGCATCTATTTATAGTGACACTACATGTGCTTCGGGCCCAAGAGTGCACAGCTTTGGTGTGGTTACAAGGAATAACGTGGTAAGTCATAGTGTGTTAGAGATTAGAGATTTTCTTACCATGATTTGCTTACATAGTGATATTATAGGACGAGTGCAATGAGTACATTCAACCGTTGTTATCAAATCTGCATGCACATACATTCAGCTGTTTAAGCTTTACAGCATGAGTTTGTTAGTTTGTGTTCAGTCAGGTCTCACGCTTCACATGTTGTGTTTTCTCACAGTCCTCTCCAGGGGGATGATAAGGCTTTATCACACATGCCCTGCAACAGTAGCAGAACTTTGACCCTGTGAGATCTCGTCACATGTAGATTTGCCTCTGCTGATGATCGTCTTTGTCCAGAGAAATGTAGTTTGTGTCTTTTTGGCTTTGGGGAGACTCAGAAGAGTGTGAGAGGAGCAACACTGAAAGGTAAGTCTGGATATTTTAGGGGACCACTAATCATAGCCTAGCCCTTATGCTGCTGAATTTCCTCACCCACTGTTGTTCAACCTTCAGTGAACGGCTTACCTAACTTAGGAAAACGTCGAATGACTTCAGCTTTAATGTTCTCTCTTATCAGATTCCTCACTATGAAGTGGGTCTGGGCTGTGTTCAAAGCTCGCCCGTACATCAGTAACATCTTGGGATACACAGCCCTGTTCGCCTCTGCTGATCTCGTACAGCAGAGCGTGCTGGGTGAGAAACCAGCAGCAGGATCCACATCGGAGGATTTAGTAGGAGTCGACTGGCATCAGACGGCTCGAGTGGCGACTGTCGGTTTTTGTTTCCACGCCAACTTCAACTATCACTGGCTCAGAGGGCTGGAGAAGATGCTGCCAGGAGGCGGAGTAAAGGCAGTAACTGGGAAGGTGGTGGTGGATCAGCTGATTGCGGCTCCTCTCACCATCAGTGCCTTTTACATTGGTATGTGTGTCTCAAAGCTTATTTAGATTTTTCTGATATGGCCTAATATTCTAAATCTGAAGTGATGGACTGAGCCCCATATATGGTCCATTTTTAGATTCTAGTTTTGACTTTTAGAGCTATTTGTGAACCTCCAGCAGGAGCCTAAGGTCATGTGATCAACACCTGATGGCTGTGCATCATAAAAGTTTGACATCTAAAGATGGCAGAGCTTTTGGAAGACTGGTCCCTAGACTCTGAGTTTGAGATCTGTAGATTTGCTGGTAGTTTTTAAAAAGCAACTAAAAACTTATATTTTCTTTATGTCTTTATGTTTTTACCCCATTGGATGTGACACAATTTGTAATATTTATCTTGAAAGGTACTATATAATTTTTTTTTTTAATTAAGTTTTTTGTGTAAAGAAAATCCCCATAATCTAAGACAGAGTTCAACCAGTCAGGCTTCAGATAGACATCTACATTGTTTTACTGTTTTATTGGATGTTTTTCACAGTCAGTATGAATCTGCTGACCATGCAACTGCACCATACCACTCGGAATTAATGGCAGCTATATTCACTAGTCAACTTATTGGGTACAGGTCAGTAGTGAGTTGGGGTATCTATTGTCATAGTGTCAATTCAACAAGGTGCTGGAAACATTTCTCAGACATTTTGGTCCATATTGATACGATACCATCACACATGCTACAAATTTTTCAGCTGCTCATCCATAATGAATCTCCCATTCCACTACATCCCAAAGGTGTTTTATTGGAAGTCTGAGATCTGGTGACTGAGGGCCATTTGAGTAATCTGTCATGGCCAAGAAATCAGTTTGAGATGATATGAGATTTGTGATATGTGTTATCCAGGAAGCAGCCATCAGAAGATGTGTACACTGTGGTTATAAAAGAGTGG